GGGGGCGGCGCGGGCAGGGCCGGTGCTGGCCGCCGGCTGGTCGCCCAGGCCGCTGCCCGGGCCGCGCAGCGGGTACCTGATGTCTGTGCGACGCTTTGCTGGGGAGCGCCAAGTTAGAGAGCTCTTCTCTGCCCTGGCCTGTTGCTGGTCCTCCCACAACTTAATGAGATGAGAAACAAGGTTTGCCTATTGAACTTGGGCTCAAACTGACTGAGGGAAATAGGTAGGTAGGCCAACGGCGACTGTGTCTTCTTGTTTTCTTAGAAATTTGGCTAAAAAGCCTGCCGGTGCTTCTGTTGCGCTGCAGAACGCGCAGATGCGTGCTGAAAGGGCCCTGCAGCGCCTTTTGGTGCTGGGGTTGCTCTGGGATTTGGTTTTCATTTTGCAAAGCGCTGGCAATTGTCTTAGCAAGATCCTAAGATGTACTGTTTTGTCGCTCTGCAGGAGCTGAAATGAGCAGCGTTGCACACAGACCAGGAACATGCAGGCATGGAACGAGTTGCAAATTGGCCTCTATGGATGCAGGATGCAAACAGGTGAATCTTCCCTTTTGGCATATAGTTAATCTACATAAAACTAGATGAACTGTGCATCAGTAAGTTAGGATGATAACTTTTTCAATGATGCTCCTATGCTAGCAAAACTGTTCAGTGTCAACACAGCAGAAACAGATTCTCTGTAAGTATATCTTAAGTGCAGGATTACGTGTGTCAGCCGAGGCAGAAGCTGTATTTATGGGAAATGGGTTTGCCTGTCTGTGCTTTTCTAGTATATGCTAGACCTTATTTACAAAGACTTGAGCTCAGAGCTCTTGTATTTTTCTTGCAACAGCTAATCATGTCAAGCACCTAAGGAGACTGCTGTGCTTTCTGGCCTGCAGAGCAAAGCAAGAAATCTGATCTCATGTCTTGGCAGATAAAATATCATGCAGTTCTCTTTTAAAATGTATTTGATTTTTGAAGGCTGTGAATGTTGTTGGTTTCTTTTTTTTCTCTTAAATATCTCATCACTTTCTGTGTACGTTTGCTTTTGTAAATGAAGACATTTCATCCTATCTTTAAGAAGATGAGTTATCAGGAAGCTGGAATATGTCAGTTTCGAGCCAAATAAAACTGTGGGAGACAGTCTCATGGCAACAAACTCTTCTAGGGGCCGTAAATCAGATTTGTGACTTTGTAGCTCCATCTAGTGATTATTCTCTATAACTGCAGTAAGAGGGAGAGATTTACTGCGGGAAATGCTTCCGTTTACAAGAAACAGTCTGTAAATCCCAATGCTTCCCGAGAATGCCTGTGTACAAGAACGTTGTTTTGCCCTCTCTGCTCACAGCTCAGTGACCTGCCTCACTTGAAGCTCATGGGGAACTTCAGATTTCTGAAATCAATGCAAATATAATTGCTAACAGACTTATATCTGCACCTGGACTTTATTGTTTGTTTTTTTGGCTCCGAGTTCTTATGCAATAACAGCTTACTTGTGGTGACAGTTAAAGAAGGAGTTCTATGTCAGTATATTAGGCTATGTATTGCTTCCTATAGGAAGGAAGTTGATTTACAGATATATAACTCAAGATAAAACAGTTATTCTTTGAGTCTATCTTAGAATTGCAAAAGAGTTAAAGCATTAAAGCACAGCTCTGTGATTTATCACAGAACAAGAAACTTTGGTTACCCAGTGCTTTAATTCAAATGCATCTTTGCAGTGTGCTGTGGTTACTTGAACACTTAAAGATTTTGGTGTATAGCTGCATATTTCTTATGCTGGCTAGGTGACAGCCAGCTAGAGATGGAAACTGTGTTGTGTAGTGGACTTGGGTACAAACCTCACTGCTCCCTATATCCATAAAGTCAGAGCAGTTGCACATATTTCACATGAGGTCAGGATTTTTCCTTGTATTGTGTTCAGTGTGTTTGCTACCCTTGAGAGCACCTTATCCCTGGAACTCTGTTCCTGAACGGGCAGGTTGCTGACCGTTTCTTCAAACTGGAGCCAGAACATGATCACTTCTGTGGAACATAAGGAATAGGAGAGAGAGGATTCAGACCGTCTAGTCAGTGTTTGACCTCAGGATGCGTGGATCCTCATTTCATTCATGCTAGTAATCCATCCCTCGTCTTCTCAGTCACTGGGTAAGTGATGTCTGTGATTGTCAGGTTTTCACTAAAACCTTCCTGCCAGGAGTGCTCTTGTATTGGGAATGTGGCCTACCATCCACCTTGCTGTCATCTAGCTGCCTAAACTTGTATTAGAAATAGGATCGGAGAAACATTAGCCTGCTGATAAGGCTGTTCTCGCACTTCTTGGTTTCTGTCTTTCAGATATTTGCAGCTATTGCTCAACCTGGGTTTTTCTGGATAGAGAGCAGTAATACATAGTAACCGAGCGCCTATGTAAAATGCTAAATGACCTGTGGTGGGTTTCAAAATAGGCTATTCCCTTCCACTATTTTTTTTTTTTTTGACTTTTCTGTGTGCTAGCTACTTGAGCTCAGCCATGTTTTCTGGCAGTCTGTGCCTTCCAGGACATAGCTGGTGTTCTGTGGTCTGCTCCAAGGTGTTGTTAAAGTGCAAAATATGACATCTTGATTCTCTTACCTCTGCTCCGTAGAGGAGTAAAATCTGTGTGGGCTGCTCAGCCAGGGGTTGTCCATGTAGTGATTGAAAGCCGGCTGGCAACATGCATACTAAACCATAGTTGCTGCTAACATGGTTTTACTAGACCAAGGTGACTACAGATGACTCTTTTGAGAATGATATTCACCCTGTAATGGAAAAATCACTGTACATCACAGACATCCTGAAATAATTTTATGTAGACTTCTTTGAATAGCACAGCTCACTGAAAACAATCCCTGTACATATGTTGAAGCTATACTGGTCTGAAGCTTGAAAAGAATTCAGTGGAGCTACCTGTTATGTCTGAAAGTCTCTGCTTCGTTGAGGCTGAGCTATTGCTGGCGTGGGTTCAAACGTAATTTATTGAATGGTGCTCACTTCAAACCTCGGTTGCCCCCACGTTGTCCCCCTGTGTATATCATGAGGACAGCGGTCACCCAGTCTTCTGAAGTACAGCAGCACTTGCATAAAATGTTGAGAAGTACAGTGGAAATACAACACATATCTAGTTCAGTGAATAACGTAAAAGTGCGTTCAGGGTCTCTGTACGTTTGAAGGAAGAGGAGGCAGTGATCGCTGCCCTCAAAAGCTTGTAACATGAATGTAAGATAAATGTCCATGGACAAAATTGGAAGTGTGAGGAGGCGTTAGGCTATATTGGTCAGCATGCTTGCCGGTAGCCTAACTGGCAAGTGTCTTGGGAGGAATCAGCAAAGAAGTTCTACGGAGACTTTTTGAGGAAGGAGAATGAGATTTGGAGCTGTTTACAAGGAGTTTATTTCAAATAGGAGTGCAGAATATGTCAAAGCCCAAACAGGAGGAGGAACCAAAGAAGAATGCATTCGTGCATTCACATGGTCAGAGTAATTGCTGAAAATGTTCTTTGAGAGAGCATTATGAGCGGATAAGATTTGAACGAGATTAGATCTGGTGAAAGAAGTTGCAGAAATCGAGGTGATGAGAGCTTGGACAAAAGTTTTTAGGTGTGAAGATGAACGGAGAAAAAAATCATCTTGGACTTGTCAAAATCTTTCTGATTGCTTTTGCGTTATTTGAATATGAGGGTATGGTAAGAAACCAAAATATTCCTGTTTTTGCATGGTTTGGACATGACGATCTGGAGAGAAATTGGAGTTGAAAGTGATAAGTTAGGAGTCGAGTAACAGGTAAAATGGTCATTTTTTTCAATCTGTAGTGATGGAGGAGAAAATTTGGAGAGATGAGGTTGAGCTGATCCTAGACATCCTCTGAGAGGTGTTGGAAGGCATTTGAGGTTTTAATTTGGCTGTAACGAGATAGAAGTGAGGGGGTAGATCTACAAGTTGTCAGAGCAGAGATGGTAGATGAATGTTTGTATTGGGGCAGTTGCTCAGAGATACAGGAAGCAGTGAATTTGTGTACCTTTTATAGTATTAGCAGATAAATAAGCCTATAAGCATTCTCTTGTATTTATTTCTTTTTTGTTACCGTGATGGGTTTTCATAATCTTCTTGGTTAAAACTGAAAACTTTTTTGCATATTTATGAGTTCATTCAACTGTCTAACATAGGTGTTGTTGGCATAACATGTATATACCTTATAACTTAAACACTGCACTCTACAGTGTATATCCTCTTGGAAGATCTAGGTGAATCAGTTTAAGGTAGCATATTTTAGAGTTTTGTATAGGGAATTGCTATTTTTTTCATTTGCATTTGAGATTCTTTTTTTTTTTATTCCAGTTCAACTTGTTATCGTATTTGCCTGCTCTATCCCTGTTCCCTCTCCAGCGTAGCGTATGCTTAACTGTTCATTTTGCAGTTCAGTGTTTGCTATTTACCAGTATAACCCCTTTGACCTTAGAGATATTCATTGCACGTGTATCTACTGTAGCAATTTTTTTGCCGTGAGTATTCATATGTCTTCTCAACTGAAAATCCTGGGATAGTAAGAATGGTATAATCTTTTTTCATCTGTGATAAATCGAATTGTTCTCCAAAATTTTCTTCAGATAGTTGAATTCAGTAATTTGAAATAAGACTAATAGTTTCCCAAATACTCCTCACTGCTTCTAAAGTCATCTGGATTTTTTATCAGACAAACTGTAAGTATCAAAGCTTACTTTAATATGATTCATTATCCAGCTGGAGGGTAATCACTAAAATGGGACGCAGACATGAACAATGACTTCAGCTAAGTTGGTTCTGTTACTTTCATCCTGCTCAGCTACTTCTATGGCATTCAGTCTTCTGTGGAAGCTTTTAAAGTATGTCTTTCGATAACAGCTTGTAAAGGCTGTGGTACCTTCACATCTATTTCAAGGCTAAGGTATCAACATTTCAAATGCTGCTGCTAAGAAAGCTGGTGATTCATGAGCCCATAAGCCCTAAGCCATTAAACTTGCAAACAGCGAATGGTTTAGAAACAGTTTTCAGCTAGAAGCATTTTGACATATTGGTAAATATTTTCAAGTCTTACTGGCTTACAGGCCAACATTTTGAATATATATGGCTACTTTTTGCCATCTCATTACAAGACTAGGTTCAACTTTGGACATGGAGGTATCGTGAGGAGAGATAGCTACTGCCAAGCAGCATAATTCCCAGTGCAAAGTAAGTTAATGGCTTCTATGAAAATATCCCAGAAGTATCAAGGACTGTAAAACTCAAATTGAGCTTGACTGGGGGAGACCCAATAAAATAGCCCGTTCAATGGCTCAGCTTGACGGATTCAATGACAGAAGCAGTTCTCCGGACAAAGAGGGTTTGTCATTGAAGGCTGTAGGTCAGAGGCACTTTGGATTTTTCCAAACAGGTGACAGACTGTTGTGAATGATCTCCTTCCAGGTCATGGCCTAGCCTCACACTTTGGAAGCATTGTATGTACAGTGGTGCAATGGATGCTTGCTACTGAGGAATAAAACTTGGAATTAATTTGCTCCT